AGTTGCGAGGGTCAGCGCAGCGGAGGCGCGGTGGGGGGGCGAGGGGGGGGAGGATTTGTTAATCGACATCTTGCAGTAAAGATGACTAATGACGTATATTCCATTAAATCATCTGGTGAAATATCAGGACAGATGGCTACAGATAACAATGTTGTTCTTTGAGGAAATTAACCATTGTGATTTAGTTTAGAATTAATTATATGCAACATAGACATTAACATCTGGAATAGAAAACTACAACGTTGCCTCTCTGTGTTGATTTACTTGATCAGTGGAGGGAAGGTGCGACACAAACGTCAGGCCCTGCAGGATATGGCTCGACCACTGAAGCAGTGGCTCTATAAGCACAGGGACAACCCTTACCCCACCAAGACTGAGAAGATACTGCTGGCTCTGGGCTCCCACATGACCCTGGTTCAGGTGAGGTCAAAACAAACACTGACACTGAATTAGACTGATATTTGATCAGATCAGACTGGGGTGCATGGTTTTGAGGGAGCACTGGGATGGATTTGGAGCATATATATATATTAAGACATAAAAACATGGATGTACAGAATGCAGAAGTGAGAAAAAAGCTTATTAGTCCTATCATGACGTTTAACAAACAACTTGCACAGCAATGTAAAATGGCATTTAAGCCACTGGTGGGTCACAAGTCTGTTTTGATTTCAAACAATGCTAATGCAAAAATAAATTGCAACTAGATGTATAATATAATAATAATAGTAAAAGATAGTTTTCAAAAAGATCATAAACATTTCCTATAATTTTATTTTTGACAATAAAAGCCACATGCCCAGTCAACCTCTACAAAAGTATACCTGTAATTGTGCAAATTCATCTGTCACTTGCTAATACTAATAAAATACTTAACTTGTTTGTCTCATTTATCAGGTTGGTGAATTGCTCTGCTGTTGTTATTACTGCAACATTTTCCTGTCAAGCGTATGCCATTCTAATAATTGTGTACTTTGTTAGGTCTAACCAGTTCATATATTTTAAGGACGTCTGTGCTTAATTTTTTTTTACAATTCTGGTGTGATGGGTCATCATCAAGATATTTAAAGGCAAATCTGGGTTCTGATGCAAATCCGGCTGGTTTCAACATTGCCATTAATGGAAAATATATCTTTGCAGTATCTTGCAGACATGACCATACTTGAAGGATTTGTTTGAATTTTAACTGGATTTCAAGGACTCTGACTTGGATATAAAAATACCAAATTCTTCTCAATTGTTGTTCGCTTCTGTGTTTTGGGTCTTTGTTGTGTTGCATGAACCATCCTCTTTCAAGTTTTAGATAACAGACAGATGTGCTGAAGCTCTGCTGTATAATTTCTCGGTACGACTTGGAATTCATTAGTCCTTCTGATTGTAAACTTTCCAGGCCCAGAGGCATCAAAACAGCCGCCACAATATCATATTCCCAGCATCATTTTTCACAGCTGGGATGAGTTTTTTGTGTTGGAATGTTTAAACATATAGCTGTGTAGAACTAGACAAAAAATTAAACCTTTATCTTATCAGGCACCATACTTTTTTTGGAGATGGTTTAGTGGTTTCCTCTCGTCTTTAGTGTTTTCCTAATGATAAACTACCAAGTCACTGGTAGTCTGCTGAAGCCCACTCATAGGAGTAACAATCATGCAGGGGTGTGAAGTAACGAATTACAAATACTCACGTTAAGTCGTTTTTATCAGTAATTGTACTTTTTTGAGTCGCTTAAAAATGGTGTACTTTTACTTTCACTTGAGTACATTTTAAGTGATGTATCGGTACTTTTACTCCACTATTTTCCTCCGTTTGTGGTCGTTACATGCTTATTTTAATTTTATTTTTATCCATCAACGTGATTGAATAGAGAGTAATAGGTCTCGTGACTTTCGGCAAATTAAATTGTGCATAGAAAACTTTAACCGCCAACTGTTTATCACGGCTGCTGGAAGCCATTCTTCAAGCATCAATTCAGTCGCATCTTCCTCTTAACTTGATGTTAAGCTAAATTTCGGATTTCTGCTTACTAAATGATTTGTATATATGCTTGCCTATCTACACGGCCTGAAATGTGGTGTGAGGTTGCGGGTATTGCGTACAGTGTTAACTCCCGCAAGTGCCACGTTCGGTAAATTCCCCACTCACTTATGAGACGCCTCGTCTCTCTCTCGCGTGAGTTCTGCAGCAGTCACTTGGATAAGTCATTGTTGAACTTGTTGACTTTTGATGAGTTTGAGCGCGTGATGCGCGCTGTGAAAAAGTGTGTTGGAAACACAAATTGAGGACCCGTGGCAGGGGCGTAGCCATCATTTCAGAAGTGAGGGGGACAGAAATGTTATATATATAAATAACATATAAACATTACAATATAACATTGCTGTAACCTACCAGTCAACAGTTTTTGAACAGTAAGATTTTTAATGTTTTTAAGAAGTCTCTTCTGCTCACCAAGCCTGCATTTATTTGATCCAAAGTACAGCAAAAGCAGTAATGTTGTGAAATATTTTTACTATTTAAAATAACTGCTTTCTATCTGAATATATTTTAACATGATTTCTGTGATCAAAGCTGACTTTTCAGCATCATTACTCCAGTCTTCAGTGTCACATCCTTCAGAAATCAATTCTAATATGCTGATTTGCTGCTCAAGAAACCTTTTTTAATAATAATAATAATGATTATTATCAATATTTAAAACAGTTGAGTACATTTTTTCAGGATTCTTTGATGAATAGAAAGATCCAAAGATCAGTATTTATGTGAAATAAAACGCTTTTGTAACATTATACACTATACCATTCAAAAGCTTAGAGTCGGTATAATTTTTATTTCTTGAAAAAGTAATTATAGAAATCAACACTTTTATTTAGCTTTAAATTGATCAAAAGTGATAATAAAGACATTTATAATGTTACAAAAGATTTCTATTTCAGATCAATGCGGTTCTTCTGGACTTTCTATTCATCAAAGAAACCTGAAACAATTCTACTCAAACTGTTTTAAACATCATAATAATAATATATGTTTTTTGAGCAGCAAATCAGAATGATTTCTGAAGGATCGTGTGACTGGAGTAATTATGCTAAATATTCAGCTTTAAAATCTCAAAAAATTACCTTTTAAAATATATTCAAATAGAAAACAGTTATTTTAAATAGCCTAGTAAAAAATATTTCAAATGTTTACTGTTTTGCTGTAGTACTTTGGATCAAATAAATGCAGGCTTAGTGAACAGAAGAGACTTCTTTAAAAAACATGAACAATCTTACTGTTCAAAAACTTTTGACTCGTAGTGTATAGTCAACTTTAATTTTTCTCTCATTTCTAGCTTTTAATTGGCTTAGAAATCAGATAACTGCTGGACGTAGACTTTCTCCGGCTACAAGTATGAATGAAACATACACTGCATGAGTGTTTAGCGCTCCGTGATGTTCATCTCGCCTTATTCTGGGTCCAAATAAAACATCAGGTCATGCACAGACTATCCTGTCTCTTTGAATTTAAATCTATATTTATTCACACAGGCTCTTGAAAACCTCTATGCGAACACACTTGCCCGAAAAAGTGCGGGGGACGAATTTACGTGATATTAAAAGTGGGGGGGACACGTCCCCCGCGTAATCTACGTCCCTGACCCGTGGCATTAATATACTGCATCTGTGCCAGGTGTGATGTAATAAAACTCCAGCTCGTTAATAAACTTTTTTTTTTTAATCCATTTTATACAATCCGCCTTCATTTAGCAAGTGCACTCGTGCATAAACTATTTTCAAGTTCAACACTTTTTGTTCCGTTCAGTTGTGGATGCTGCTGATTCACCGAGACCGCCGCGGCTCAGCAAAGAGACATGCGTGTGTGTGTGTGTGTGTGAAGTGAAGTGAAGTGACGTGACATATGGCCAAGTATGGTGACCCATACTCGGAATTAGTGCTCTGCATTTACCCATCCAAAGTGCACACACACAGCAGTGAACACACACAAACCGTGAACACACACCCGGAGCAGTGGGCAGCCATTTATGCTCCGGCGCCCGGGGAGCAGTTGGGGGTTCGTTGCCTTGCTCAAGGGCACCTCAGTCGTGGTATTGAAGGTGGGAGAGAACGCTGTACATTCACTCCCCCCACCTACAATCCCTGCCGGTATGAGACTCGAACCCACAACCTTTGTGTTTCCCCAGAACTACTTAGCGATTTAAAATGCATTTTTCCTTACAAATTGTATGATCAGCATAACAATTCGAGTAAATGTGTAAAAGGTATGGCATGATGCCATCCTTCTAGAACAATGTGCATTTATGTTAAAATTGTAACATATTATCAAGTTTAGTTATTCTTATTTCTTTATTGCAAAACGCTAAAACTGGCACCGTTTTGGAGAGAAATGGGCTCTCATTTGAACCCATATCATGGTGTGTGATGCTGAACTATGAGTTTCTAATGGTGTTTGTATTTGCACTGTTCTAAATATTAATATTTTATGTGCAACAACAGCATGCTGTCTCAATGGCCTTGCACATGATTTTAAATCAATTTTTTCAAACTTTATGATTTAAATGTAGATGATTGTATTGAGAATAACCTTCATCTTTTCTTCAACTGAATACTGTTTCCGTGCTGTTTTGATGTATTTTAAAGAGCTGGCAGTCAAAATTAAAACTGCTAGATGATAGATACACTTCATTATTTATGATTAACAAGATAATGTGAATTACGGAATGTGCAACGTTTTTAAAATATATAAATTGCGGTGTACAGCGTTTATTATGAGGGGGTAGAATCCACAGCTCAGTACTCACTACTCAATACTCATGAGTACTTTTAAATAGGCTACTCTTTTACTCTTCCTCAAGTAGTTTTTTGGACAAGTACTTTTACTCTACTCACACTACATTTTTTGGAAGGTAATGGTACTTTTACTTGAGTATATTTTTTCAGTACTCTTTCCACCACTGCAATCATGTTGAATTTCTTCCATTTGTAAACTATCGTCCTGATTATAGATGGACAGAGGGCAAAGTCTGGAAATTCTTATGCAACCATTCCAGTCTCATGAACTTCAACAGGTCTCTTTCTGAGGTCTACTGAAATCTCTTTTGATCGAGTTATATTACACATAAACAGAATCTTCTCATGAAGAGTGGGGCACTAATGTGTTTTTGATACTGCAGAGCAGGTCAGTCTAAATGCATTGAAATATCTGACTATAGTATCCTTCAGGGTCACATACTTTTTCCATTGATGATTTTAAATGTTTAAATTTTTGGTCCAATAAATTTATGGCGCTGCAAACTAGTGCATGTGTTATTTGTTAAATAAGTCTGTATTTAATATCATGACATAGATGGAAAATCTGATATCATTTAGAATCCACTTAAGCAGAAATCCAGATCACTTTGACATGATCCTTGCTTTTTTTTTATTTTTAGGAATTGCACGTGAAGCAGGTCAGGGAAGGCAGGTTTATGTGACAAAACATTACAATAACCAAATGATATCAAAACATAAAAAAAATAAACCTACCCCCAAATCAGCCTTTTGTCAACGTCAAGACAGATACACAGATTTCAAGATTGAAACTTTTATATTTCCTTTCATTTATTTAACTATTATTTAATTGCAAGTTTACTTTTTACCATGTGAAAAAAAAGATAAATCCTGACAAAAGAGTCAATGTCACCATTGCCAAACACATTCTATTTAACTAGATGCATTACATTTCTGCAATGGAAGCAGGCCAGGTGGGTTGCTTGAATAATATAAAAGTGCAAAAAAGAAAATGCACCTTTCTGATTTATGTACATGTCATTTCTGCTGCAGACACATCTGTAAATGCATCTGTTAGTTTACTGTATGAATGCATCATTGATGTAATGGGTAACAAGTTTGTGACCCCTTCTATGTAGTGTCAGGAGTCATATTGGTAGGGTAGAAATATTCCATCGTAAAACACAGACAGATTATGTAAACTAATATAAATTGTATGCATTTATATGATATGATAAATATTCTATAAATAAAAAATTAAAATATAACTATGTCAAATCTTCAAACTGCAGATAAAAACCAACCACAACAGCCTGACTCTGAGGAGTGATATAGGGATGAAAAACAGCTAGCTTGACTGGAAAAAAAAAAAAAAACATGTACTGCATCATTTTTTTAACTGTTCATTAAATGCAAGCAAGATAAGCCAAAAGGTGTTCCTGATTTAACAATCATGTGTTTGTATTTTTCAGGTCTCCAACTGGTTTGCGAATGCGAGGCGTAGGCTCAAGAACACAGTTCGACAGCCTGACTTGAGCTGGGCCCTACGCATAAAGCTGTACAACAAATATGTACAAGGCAATGCTGAGAGACTCAGCATTAGCAGTGATGACACAACATCAGATGGTACGGATTTAGGGTATTTACCTATTCTATAGACATTCTCATGTATTCTGGCCTTCAAAGACAAAATGCATTCATTGTGCCAACATTAAAACCGTGAAAATTTTATATCTTTTTTTGTTCCACAGATGGGGAGAATCCTTTACAGATTCAGGCCAGCGAATCAGACTATAACAGACCCACGCACAAGAGCGTTATTCAGGACAGCCGAGGCAAAGGGGTGGGGCGAAGCGCAGACCCACGCGCAGACCCCTCGGTTTGTGATGATTATGTGTCTCCACCAAAATACAAGAACAGCTTGCTAAACCGCTATCTAAATGATTCCCTTCGGCATGTAATGGCCTCCGAAAAAGTTATGGACTCTCGGAAGAGGAACCACTCTGGATCGTTTAGCTCCAACGAGTATGAGGATGATTTTCTCTCACCATCATCAGAAGCTGAGGCAAACTTCACCTACCGTACAGGTAAGAGCTGTCACAAACTTTCAAGATTCAAAAATGTAATTAATTAAAGAGGACATTGAGGATATTCTACAAACATTTTGATGCTTGTCGCTGTGCATTTCATCAGAGGTCTTCAAAACAGCGTTGTTGTCCTTTTTAGAAAATATTAGATTAATGAAACCCAATGAATTGTCATTTTTGAATTCATCTTTGCAAACCTGTATGACTTTCAAAAGACGATTTTAGGCAGCGTATTCACACTGCTCTTTTTATGCACCATAAAATTATGCGATACATCTCATGCTGTATACTTAGGGCTGTTTCCTAGACAAAGCTATTTTATGACTTCAGAGGTCTTTGAATAGACTACAGATATATGACAAGTTTCACGGTACTTACATGGTGTTTTTTCAAGCATAACAATCCCTGATCAACATTCAACTAAACTTATTTTTTGTGTTCTGCGAACACAACAAAATCACAGGTTTTGAACAGCGTAGCTTGCTCTGACTAGCTTGTCAAACTAGTGGACAAAAAAAAGGAGACAAACACAATGAAAGATTTTGTGAATCCAATTAAAATTAATAATTAAACTGAATGTAAAACTGTGGTTTTGTATGGTTTGATTAGTGAGTGGAACGTTCCTGGACTCGTAGCTTATAGGAACACCTGCTGATGCCTCATGAGAGAAAATGCTTTAGTGTTGCCAAAGGAGTTGAATCTAATTCATCATTAACATAATTCCACCTCAACATTTCAAAATGTTCTACTTCTCTGTTTATTTTGCTCCTGTGCCCTTTTGGAATGGTCTCATTTTGGAAAAAATTAAGGAATGCTCTGCTTTTCTTTTTGTTGTATGAGTCCATTAAAACATGCAGGTGTTTGTGATGAAAGTAAGCAATCTAACAATGCAGTGTATAACAATTTTATCCACAGTTATGTGCTACTACAGAGATACTACTGCTACTTTTACAACATTTGAGACATTAAATTTACGTTTTATGTGGCCTGTAATTTACTCAGTTTAGCCTGTTCAGAAGAACTAGCTCTCTTTGCCTCATTGTCCATTTGTGATTTTTGCAAAAACATGACAAGGACATTAATGTTGACAGTAAAATACAGCAACACGTCATTTAAAGACATTAAAGAATGTTTCATGAAACTTGAAAAGAGATATTCAGGGGAATGACCAAGCTTTGTTTTTCCATAAATTGACCAGCTGCCACCATTGATTTAAATAAATAAATAATAAGTAAATAATATATACACTCTAAAAAATACTGGGTTAAATATAACCCAGCACTGGGTTAAAAAGGGACTAACCCAGCTATTGGGCTGTTTTGAACCAGCTGTTGGGTTGTTTTGACCCAGCTGTTGGGTTGTTTTGACCCAGCTGTTGGGTTGTTTTGAACCAGCTGTTGGGTTGTTTTGACCCAGCGGTTGTGTTGTTTTGAACCCAACCGCTGGGTCAAAACAACCCAATAGCTGGGTTTTTTTCCTTTTTAACCCAGCATTTTTTAGAGTGTAAAAAATATATAAAATAAATCAATAAAATATGAATAATGATTATAATAATAATACATTAATTAAAAAATAAGAATAAAGAACCATAATAGAATTCATACAACCTTTCCACCTATTGCAAGTCTTTCTACCATATGATAACTTTGCGTGAGGAACAGACTGAAATTGATGATTGATTATTTATAAAAATGAAATTTATAATTCATTATTATTCACTAAAAAATGTTCAGCCTTTTTCTCATGCTGTGTGACAATTCTGTCTGACATTTCCTTTAGTATTTCTTTTTTTTTAAATACAGTTTAGTAATTCAGTAGTTATCAATAATGAGTCTTGGTAGTTATTTATTTTAGCTAAGCTTGCCATAGTAAATGTATAAAGTAACAACAAAACTGTTCACTCAAACCCATTGTAAAAAGAGAGACTGTCAGGATATGAAGAAAACAGCTGGCAGCTGTTACATTTTTGTTGCTTGTAGACTTGTTCCATTGTGATGTCATCATTGCCAACAAAAAGACGATTAGCTGTAAATATTATCTTAATTGATTTTGTGTGTTGTGGTTACAATGAATCAGCCAATGCTGAAATGTCATTGTTTCACTGAAGTGTGCCTGTGACCTCGAGACACACCTTAGATGAAAAACAACTTGTTTTCCCCAAAAATATCATAAAACAAAAAGGTCAATATTTTCACATAATAATTCCATTCTGTAGTTCAGAATGGATCATATGCTCAGCTACTGATAGCTGTGAGAATGGTGCTCAAAAGCTTGGGATAGAAATTTAAAGGAGACGAGGGAACATTTACATTAAGTCTTTTGGCCACTATGAGTCTCACAGAGGCATCCCCACAAGGCAGTGAATTCAGTTTTGACAAAAATCAGTCAAATATGTTGAAGCATGGAAATTAGCAATATCAGGCTTGTTTTTGTCTTTTTAGCTGGGCTTGCAGTGAGAGATTTTAGCTGGAGATGCAGTTTGTTTCAAATGTTAAAGTCAAATTGAAACAATCTTTGAGTGTCCTTACTTTCTTAATGCATGTTCCTGGTCTTATTATGAATGGTTTGTGGTGTATTTGCTCTGTAATCTTTAATTAAAATGTAATGAAACACGAAATATGCAAAGGACAATGGTTTTCCATTTTCAGCACATTGTTGTCTTGTAAGCGTAAGAGCAAAACAGTGACTCAGGCAGGCATTCATTCAGGCTTTTGCATTTAATCCAATCGACTTGTTTTCTCTCTCTCATTGAATATCCTGCTTTACTTGAAAATATATCACATTACAGAAGTAAAATGAGCTGTGAAACAGCTCTTTATGGTGACTTTAAATGTTAGTTTGTTGAATTTTCCAGAATAAAACCACCATGTGGCACACAGTTGCAGATTACCTTGCCACATAACCTAAATATTTAGCAATTTGAGATGATTGTATGAATTAAAATTAAATTAAAACACATTTGTTAAGAAACACAGCCCAGTTTTATCTCTCGTTTTTCTAGATTTGATTTATATGATCTCAATTTATAGTTAATTCGATTTTGCTTAATACAGCCCTCCTGTCTGTAGCCAGAGGAATTGCTGTATTTTCTTTTTGGTATTTTCTGGTGCGTTTTACAGGTTAAGTCAATCTAAAGCATCTGTGGACAATAGAAGTGAAGTTAGAAAGATGAGAGACATTCAGTAGCACAAAGAAACCAGAGCCAAATGATTTATTAATGGTTTATAGTAGTTCTTGGCACAAATACTGTTTAAGAAATCCGAGTTGGAGATGTTTTAGGCAAAGAATATTGAAAATAGCATTTTGTGTGCTCATGCCTGTCGTCCAATTTTCCCCCTCATAGCTCCCATAAGAGAGATTTTTCTTTACTGATCTCAATGCTTTCAGCAGAAAAGAGAGGCAGCTTTACTATTATAAACCGATTTATGTAGATACCGAACAAAGGACGTTATTTAAATCCAGTCCAATAGACGACTTTGAAAATAAATGTATAATGTCAACGAATGTTTAATGGGTGCACCTCAATTTGTTTGAGCTGTCCTCCCTCATCTAACCAAACATGATGTTTCCTGTCATTCATTTCACACTGCCTGTGTGAAAGTGTTCATCTTCCAAATGGTTGTGAAGACAGCGCATTAAAGGGTCATGAAACCCCAAAACACATTTTTTGAGATGGGAACAGATATGTACTGGCTGCAAAGCACTCATAAATGTTATCAGTAAGTGGAAATTGGTTATTTTTTCCGAGCATTTTCGTCTTTCGGGTTTGAAAAGCTAAGTCGAAGCTACTTCACAAAATCTGACATAGATTTGCGCCTCGGAGTGTGTAGATAGTGAAACTCCCTTTTTTATGCAAAACCCTTCCCTCTTTCCGGACTCTACCCTCCCAGCTTTTCACAGTTGACCACGCCCCTTTTTGGAATCCTTTTCAAATCGGAGGTGTGAAAAAACACTGCTGCAGCAGGGGGTTTCATGACACTTTAAAGGTCCCCTGAAATGCTTAGAAACCCAGCGGCAACCTCCCCCTCTCTCTCGTGATGCCAACAAGGAAGTGACTTAAACTGTAATTCATCAACTGGCCGCTAGAGGCTGGCTGCAAAAGGGAGTCAATCCCATAGACTCCCCATGTTAAAATGCCCAACTTTACAGCAGAAAAAAACACGTTTACAGCCTGGTTCAAAAAATTATTTTGGTTTATATAGCCAATTTTGCCCTTCATGACAACTGTGAGGGGGGTGAATTTTTTTATGAGTCATCCGTTTAAATTATATTAAGCCTTAAAGTTCTGCATAATTAAGGGCGTGGCCACTTGAGTGACAGGTGGATTGCCGCTGCTGTCACCACCGTCGAGCTAGGTGGGCGTGGATTCAGCAACCAGCTCCCGCCTTTTTGCCCATTTTCGATTATTAGTGACGCGCTGCCAAGATGGCGACGGCCGGCTCTGCCCACTTTGAGCTTCAAAAACCTCTTCAGGAACCTACAGGTGACGTCACGGACACTACGGCCAGGTTTTTATACAGTCTATGTTAGAAACACGCAGTGTTACTCTATGTGTTGACGTCATATTAACTGAAACAGGAAGACAGGGCGGGACATATCAAGCAGCCCCGCCCCTTTTTAAAATAGCCAATAGCGTTCGTTTATATCACAGCTTGGGCTAGAGCCGTTCAGAGCCGTTGAGCTCCGTAAAGCCACATTTGACAGGGTATGCCAGCCACAATCTCATCCATATTGCTATAAAATATAGCATTCTGTGTAGAATTCAAATAGCTCCGATACATTTTGTGGTCTGCGCCGACTCGCGCATGTGATCCGCTCCGTGCTATCGTGTCTCTGGACCAGAGCAGTGCGAAACCAGACTTCTTTTTTTCCTCAAAGGAAAGCATATTTACACTGTTTGAATCGTTCCCTGTCCCCTATATAGTGCACTACGTGCCATTCACTGTACAGAAAATACTAATTCTGTGGACAAGTGACCGATTTCAGCCACGGCTTCAGCGTCTATTTTATAGTGTAAGGGGCGGGCGCTTCGGATTCTAGAGAGCATTTGATTGGACAGAAAGTTTGATGAGAAGCTGAAGTACGATGTGACGTCAAAAAAATCGCTGAGCTGTTTTGGTGGAAGTGACGAACTGCAAGCTTTGAATGCTTATATCTTCTAAATGCAAATTTTGTCACTGTTTTGGAGCACACTGCCTTATAGATAACCTTAAGACTAACATATTGATACTAACACCCAAAAAACTTTCATTTTGATTTCATGGGGACTTTAACTTATACGGTATAGTTTAACTGCAAAGAAAACCTCACAAATGTTGAATGCTAGTTATTGCTTAGTCAATGTTCTGTCTTCATTTATTATGAATTGTATTTTTTTTTTCATGTTTCACAAAAGGAGAAATTTTGAAGAATGTACCCATCATTCTGTTTCAGTTGCAAGGAAAGGGAATTGAGCTTTCAAGTTTCAGAACGTTTGTGTGATAAAAGTATGCCATACCAATCATGCCCTATATTCCAAGTCTTTTGAAGCTTTATCTGAGGAACAAATCAAACTTTATTTCGACATCCTTAGTGCTTTGAGAGCCCATGAGAGATAAAGCACTTTCTGAATAATGAGTCATAAACAGATTATTCTTTTGAGTTCGATCTTTCTAATTAACCAGTTAATCTGGCTCACAGTACTGATTCATTCACAAATCAGACATCATGTGCCTTCTTTCAGAAGACATAGAATAAGAACTAATTCTCACTGTTAACTTGTTTATTAGCATGCATATTACTAGCATATTGGCTGTTTATTAGTACATATTAATCACATATTAGTGCCTTATTCTGCATGACCATATTTTAAATCCCATAATCAATACCTAAACTTAACAACTACCTTACTAACTATTAATAAGCAGCAAATAAGTATAGTTAGTTATTTGTGAGAATGGGTTCCCACACACAAAAAAAGTGTGACTGCACAAGTTGTATGAACTTCTTTTATGCTGCTTTTACATTATTTTTGGAGCTTAACAGTTTAAATCTACTGTGATTGCTTGGACAAAATGTCTCCTTTTCCATTCCACAGAAGAAAGAAAGTCACATGGGATTGGAACGACATGAGTTAGTAAATAATGATAAGTTTTCATGTTGGGTAGACTGTTCCTTTAACGCAACGTCACGACCATTTAAGTAGTCAAAGGAAAAGGTGTAATAATTTAAAAAAATGCAAATCAGTTGCAGAGTGGTGCAACAACGTGTCTGTTTCTGACACAGAGCAGATATGCTTTTTCCATCTCGAGAGCGCAGGGGAAGCATAATTGCATTTGTTTTGGCTGGAGCACATGAACGTGGCTGTTTAGGCACAGCCTGCAGAGCTCTACTTAAATCTCCCTGAGCTCGACAAACACCCACTTACTCACCCATGTACACACATGCACATGTGAAAACATGTTTACTCAGTATGATGAGAGAGTAGCTCAGGGATATTTCATTAGCAGCATAAATGGTGTGCCAGCTTTTGGCCAAGTAGCTTTTGTGGCTATATTCTAAAATACAGCTTGAATATCCCGTTTATAACTCATTTCACCAAACTGTATTTTCAGTGACGTTGGACTGTGGCACTCGCCAAAGCGAGAGGTAAGAATGCTGTTGCCTAATGAATCATAAGGTTTTTAAGTACTGCTAAAAAACTCCTCATTAACCATTTCCTCTCCATTTTGGCAACAGCATTGCTCGCAAAGGTGGCGGAGGAGGAAATAACGAGACCTACTGGAAAGAGCTCCATGCTGCCATGGCCCTGACCAACCTGGCCCAAGGGAAGGAGAGCTCAACGCCGGGCACCACCAGCTGTATCATCCAGAAGTCTTCCCATATAGCAGAGATTAAGACTGTCAAAGTGCCCATACAACCCCGACATTAGTGGCTAACAGACTGGACAGCGTCTGTTACTAGGTCATAATTGCTAAAAGACTACCTGAACACTTGAGTATGTACTACATGCAATAATTTTGTTGAAAATGATCCACAACAGCCTTTTCTAGCAGGAAAAATACATGTTGACTGACCAACGTGCCTATTCTTTTTTTTTTTACCACTGTCTGATGAAAAATGAGATAGTAAAGAAAGTTTGATGTGTGGACTATCACTACAACTAAACACAGAAGCACAAAAATTCTCGTTCTGATTTAGGCTGTCATCATTTCTGAAATACATTTTTTGTCGGTGGCTAAAATGTAATATATTCATATATATATTCAATTTTTCTAAGTTATGTTAATTTTATTTTTAATTGACACAGGATTATTGTCATCCTATGGCAATGGCATATAAATGTGGATTATTGTGTTTAAGTATGGCATCTAGAGGAAGTTTCTTTTTCTTTCTTTTTTTAAATATTCTATCTATGAGTGAAGGAAACTTTTTTGGAACAAACCTTTTGGTTTGTTATTGGATAGCTTTGAAGTTCATTTGGGCCATTGCCTGTGAAGATTATCATGCAAAATTCAGTCAGATGACAGCTAATAAAGTTTTTTAAATAGAATACAGTTGTGCTTTGATGAAATTTGCTCCTCTCATTCCCTCAAAGTAAAAAATAGAAAGACGTAATTGTGAGATAAAATGTAAATAAGAAATACAGTCACATTATGGGATATGTAAGCACACTGTGTCATATAAAGTTACAATTATCAGAAGTAAACTTATGATTGCATGATATGAAGTCGCAACTACAAGTAATAAAGTTGCACTTGTAAGATAAACTGTAAAGTCACAATTGTATATAAAGGCACAGTTACAAGAAACAAAGATGTAGTTTTAAGATATAATGTGAGAAACAAAATCACAACTGCAAGATATAAAATCCCTCTTGAGAGATATGAAGTGCTATATTAGAATTATTTCTATACTGTTACTGTTTCTATTAATATTTTGAGTGTGCTGTCAAACGATTAATCGCGATTAATCGCATCCAAAATAAAAGCTTTTGTTTACATAATATATGAGTGTGTACTGTGCATATTTATTATGTATATATAAATACACACCCATGCATGTATATATTTCAGAAAAATATGTTATGTTTATATATTAAATATATTTATATATAATATAAATTCTATGAATATAAATATATATATGTAAATATTTTCAAAATATATACTGTATGTGTGTGTACTTACATATAGATAATAAATATGCACAGTACACACAAACATATATATTATGTAAACAAAAACTTTTATTTTGGATGCGATTAATCGCGATTAATCGTTTGACAGCACTAATTTTGAGTTAACTTATTTTTGGTCCTTCAGATTTCATTTTAATTGTAATTTCATATATATTTTTTATATTTCTGTTTAGCTTTAATTCATTTTTTATTTCAGATTAAGTTTTAGTCATTTTAGTACTTCAACCTAAAGTCATTTTATTCAGTTAGTTGCCAAGGCAATATTTATATTTTCTTTAATTTTATCTTTATTTCAATTAACAAAAACATATTATTTTTAATACTAAACTTTATTATTTTTAGTTTTAGTTAAAAATAACGACACTGAGATGATGTCGTTAATAGAAAGATGTGACAATTACCATTTATTTATTTATTTGCCCCCTCCCCCCTACCTAAAGCAGAAACAGCCATCCATATTTTTTTTCTAAGTGGTGAATATAAAGAGTTGAAGCCACATTTTGGTAAAGGCAACTAAAACTTCAATCTGATAAAGAAATAGCACTACCCATGTCAAAACAATTACGCTTGACATCTGCACAGAGCTCAGCTGCTTGTACTAGGCCATATTGGATAAGCATTTGCATTTCAGTTATGTACCTGATAGGTCTTCAAGATAAGCTGTTTGAACAGTCCGATATGTCTTGCTGGACATTTTAAAACAGTTCAGCCCACAGTAAGAATTTGGAATTGAACATACGGGACGGTCTACCCTACAGTATATCTTCTAACAGTCCTGACCACATGCTCTATGTTTTGCTCTCAAGTCTTCTTTCTCCCCACCCATGCTTCAAGGAAGACTAAAACATAATATTCACCATTCTTCTGGCCTTGCCCTCATCTAGAATGATTCAGTGGTCAACAGCACCCGCTGTATCAACACAAAGAGCCCAATACAAATAGTAAAACACCTCGAAATGAAATCTAGAACTAGCAGGAAAAGTGTAACATTGGTGGAAATCTGTTGATTTTGATGTAGTTTCAGTTCCAGGCATCATGAGGTCCACAGTGATATTTATAAATACACATATATTTATATAAAAAAAAGTTTATGCCACATTAAAGAGTGGAATCTGATTGCTTGCAGAGCTCCTTTGCCAGTGTATTGTACAGTTGCCTGGAAAGTGAACTTTGGACAGATCTTATCACACATAAAATCACAATTAGAAATGACTTACTGTATTTATACAAAATGATTTAAGGCCATTTCTTAGTAAAACTGAGGTTTGTCAATATTTGAAAAGCTTACAGATTGTGGTGTAATTTGGCTGTATTGAAGGCATTATCAGAAATGTAATTTTGACAGTAATTTAGAAGATCTGTCCAAAGTTTACTTTCCAGGAAACTGTACAATGCACTGACAAAGGAGCTCTGCAAGCAATCAGACTCCACTCTTTAATGTGACATGAGAGCTTATTTATAACTAATTATGTCCGATTTACTTGAGATTTTATTTCAAACCCTCCAGTGAGTTGTTCTGTGTAAAATATGTCTAGTAAATAAGAAACAGCTTACAAAGAAAAAAGTTGTTATCTTCTACAAAGTTATTTCCACAAATTTGACTGGCTGAGCAGCATTCCTCACCTCAAGCAACCTGTCACTCACATGAGACTGCAACAAAAGAAAACAACGACCCAGTGGTCCAATCAATTCCTGATGGATAAAATCAAATCCCACCCAATGTTTTCTCATTCGAGAAGCTGTTTCATTCGAACATACGTCACAATAGGGAATAAAAGACAAGCACAACATCCGTTTCATGCCGATTTAAAACATAACGGCACTATAAGATCTCACTGTTTTTGTCACTGTGCTTGTCTTTGTTTGTGGTGACTCTTTCTACAGTTTAAATGCAACCAAAAAATCCAAATGGTCAGACTGATGGCTTAATCGGACTGAAAAGTCTTTGTGTAAACACTTCAGTCAAGTCAAGTCACCTTCATTTATATAGCGCTTTATAGAACAGGTTTTCAGTTTCAAAGCTGCTTTACAGTAATAAATAGGAAAATAACCAATCAAAGACGCAAACTTTATCAAATATGAGACTAATTAATATTCTGCTGTAAAGCAGCTCTAACAAGACAATTCATAGTTTTCATGTTATTCCAGTTATTTTACAAGGCTTGCATTAAGTAGTAATGTAGTAAGTGTCACGAATCCGGTCTATAAACTTCCGTTCTCTCACCACCAGAGGTCACCTGCTCTCCACACGGACTCACACACTACACAGACTGTTACACATCACCCTGGACTACATTTCCCATGCTCCATTGCACTAATCACAAGCTCACCTGACTCACACCACCATTCAATGCTGAGTACTGTTTAGCGTTTATCACTTTTGGCGCTGGTCCTGCACGGTATGGGTCACTTTTTGGGGGTTTTCCACTGGGTACAGTACCTGGTACTTTTTTTAGTACCACCTCGGTTGGGGTTCCAAGTGAACCGTACCGTTATCAAAACGTGACGTGTAAACTCTGCTGATCACAGATTGGCCGGAGAGAATCGTCACTACCTGCATCACTGAACTTGCGACACAAAAAGGACCGCTAGATTTAAATCAGGACAGCCAGCGAAGGATCGAACACAACTGTTTGGAACGAGCGCACCTTTTTTTTTTAACAACCAAAAAGTTTTGTTGTCTGTTGCGGAAGAACAGACGTTCCTCTTGTTGATAGCAGAGGAGCGGATCCAGCGAGAGCTTGATGGGGCGACGCGGAATGAAAAATTATTTTTTTAGGAGTTAGTAGTAGTAGAGGCAGCGCAACTATAACGATATGTGAATAATCCCGCCCACTCTAAAGCGGTACTGAACTGCAGTGGAAATGCAAACCGAGCCGAACCGTGCCGTGCCGAGTCGTACCACGCAGTGGAAAAGTGTCATTTTTATAGCTACTTTACGGAGCCTGCCCTAATTTTCATAGTCTAGTCATAGTCTTTCCTGTTTTCCTGATTCTTGCCACGTATCTTGGATTAACCCTTTGCTTGCTGTTTTGGACTGTTTGCTCCTCGCCTGGCCTTATGCTCACGTTTACGGACTACCCCTTTTGTCAAGCCCTCTGGATTACGTTTGCTGTCGTCTGACTCAAGACCGTTTAGGATTGCTCTTTTGTCTTGCCTGTGCCATGCCTGTTTGCTGTTGTTCGACCCTGCCTGTGTTTTTAACTGTTTATTAATAAAAGCTTGCACATCCGCACGCCTCTCGTCTCCGTAACAGTAAGACACCGATATTAAAAGGACACATTCAGTATACACCTTATTGATGATGCATACTTTGTACAGGCAAGCAGATTAATCCAGAATATAAACGCAATACACACGTTTCAGACAATACACACGTTTTCCCATAGAAAACCATTCTAAAGAAAACACTTAACCATTTAGCGCATTGCGTTCTTATTCCGGGCTCTGCTTGCCTATACTGTTTTAAATATATTAAGGCATTTTAACGTTTTAATTTCCCGTTGTTTTTAGTTATTTAAATATTGTGGAGGATGTCTAGTATGGATTGCAAATGGTCAACTTGCATTTTGTTCAAATATCTTTGTCTTTTAAGAGGTGATCTAAATATTTGTGGATTGGAAACAGACAGAAAATTGGCAGGCTTGTGCTGCAGTTCTATGGATGTTTTGCCCTCCCAAGTCTTCAAGCCATTCGTGTGACAGAAAACTATGAATAGTATCATTAAATAGTGTCTCAAGTCAGTTCAGTATTTGTTCAGCTCAACTCAATAACTCTGTGAAGCTCATTAATTATTAAATGAGCTCAATTTCACTATAAATAGCTTTACAGAAGACAGCAGTGTCATCATCCAGCTCAAGTCTGTTCAGGTTTTGTTCTCATCCAACAGCAACAGTGTCGAGCTCTTGGCTCAAATTCTGGCATGACAACTCTCGGAGGGATTGGCATGGTAATGTACATGACAATGTTAATGTATTTGGTCTTGGCGGAATAGATCTGCTACGCTGCTGCTGCTGCGGCGGCAGAGCAAGTACCGAGACTTGCCAATGCATCCACAACATGCTGCTGTGAGCATGTAAGAAATATTGCTGCTGCAAATATAACATACATGAAATAACCCCCATATAGCATACATGAATTGCCTTGTAGCAGATCTATACAGGTGGAGCTGGGGAAGGTGGAGGGTCTCAGAAGCAAGCTGCAACTGCTACGGTAAGCCCTAGTCATATATTTGAATGCTGAACAGCAAGCTCATTTGCTACCGATACAGGAGAGAACCAATCAGCTGTGCCATGTGATAATGATATCATTAGGTCAGATTGAGTTAGACCTATCGTACTGCGCCATCAGAGTTTCATGCCAGAACTGTGTATTTATACAGACCTGAATTAAATTTTGATTGGAGGGTGTAGTGTAGACCTGAAAAAATCCAATAGGTAACTATTTATTTTAAGGTGTCCTTGTTAAACGTTATAGCCTACCTACTACTTACTATTATAATAACATTTGCATGCAAGTAAGCCAAACCCTGATCCTAACCCTAACCATATAGTAAGTACATGTAGACCTATCGTACTGCGCCATCAGAGTTTCATGCCAGAACTGTGTATTTATACAGACCTGAATTAAATTTTGATTGGAGGGTGTAGTGTAGACCTGAAAAAATCCAATAGGTAACTATTTATTTTAAGGTGTCCTTGTTAAACGTTATAGCCTACCTACTACTTACTATTATAATAACATTTGCATGCAAGTAAGCCAAACCCTGATCCTAACCCTAACCATATAGTAAGTACATGTAGTTAATTACTCAGTACTTAAATTTATAATTACACTGTAACAAGGACGCCTTACAATAAACGTAACCATCCAATCAATAGGGGAAAAAAGCATATAAACGCTTGAATAAATTTTTTTTACATACATGAACATATTGTAGCCTGCATGTTTATTTATATCTTGCGTCTTAAAAAGGATTCAGTGGAGAAGGCTGAATATTTGGCTAAAAAGCTCCAAATATACTTGAACAGTACTTGAACTTTTTGTATCTAAAATTCTTTATTGAACTGTTGCATAAAAGCAATAGCTATCACACACAATTGAGCAGCACAGCATGCTTTTGTGTTTAGGAATTTTTTTTTATACCTGACAATCAGACGTCTGTGTAATCAGAGCTAATCTTTCAATGAAATGAGAGAATTATGTCTGTTAGGCCTACGGTTTCATTACATGACCCGAGGTGCCACTTCAGTTTGAAAATGCATGACATTTGTTGTGATTAGCATGTTCATTGTATATTCCAGAGTCTGTGTATGTAGAGCACATTATAGAAATGTTTCACAATATATGGCCTGTTCAGACAATATGGAGCTATAGGTATCAATTTCCTGCCTCTGTGATCTTCAGACCATCTACATGCCCATCTGGAGTTAATTTACTACAATTTACATACTAATACTTAATATATCATTTTAAACAGACATTCACACAGACTTTAACAAGACACTATGCTGTGGCAGTTCAGGGTATAAACACTTTTGCAAGTTAGACATTTTAATGCAAAAAGGTAAGATATAATTTCTCCTAATTTTCCAATCCATCGCGGAAAATGGCATAGACTAGAACATCGCTGTTGAAGGACAACAGCCAAAATGAAAGAAAGCATCTACAAAACTGAGAATGAAGAATTTATGGAAACAGAACTGCTGTATGTGAATTTAATACCCATAAATGGTAAGAAATCCTAATTAGGGTGTTGGTTAGTGTATGGTTTTGCGGCTACAGGAAGTCATAAGCCATTCTTCCTGACTGAATAAGTCTCTCAGCAGCAGAACAAACACACAGGAATAAGTCAAACATATTAATACTCATACCTTATGACCAAGATGTGTATATAATTAAATTAAATGACCACTTTACCCATGTACCATTGGCCATTTTGACTGGCTACAATAACACACACACTCTCTCTCTCTCTCCAGATTCACAGTGAAAGCCTGTAGTGAAGATCATGTTTCACATGCAGATCTAATACATATTAAGGCATGACCAAATCTTCCATTTCAAGTCACTGTGAGAAAAGAATCAATATCAAGTCAGAAGATGGCTTCGTGATGAATGACCTTGAATATAGAAGTTATTTTTGGTATCCATTCACATTTAAATAGAAAACAAAAATTGAGTCAAAGATTAAAACACAGTGGAGTAAAATGGATCATCTCATGTGTTATTCAGACAAAAGTCATCATAGATTACATTATTTAAACATGCTTAATGTATCTCAACGCATGAGAGCATAGATTACTGTGAATTATGATTCAGAACAGCTAATGAAGACGTATTATTTACAAAATAATTCAAACTCTTCAAGATGGTAGAATCATGCGAAGCAATATGTCTCCAAGGCCAAATATTATACAAATAACATGGGAATATGAAATTGAAATAAAAAGCTGGAGATTAAAATGAGAGCAGCAGAGAATGTGTTAAGCAGATCAAATGTAATACAGGTACAAAGGACATTTGATAACATCCATGTTGATCCTGCCGATCCTCGGCCCCTCCCCTCCTAGAATCCTATTGGCCTACACACATCAGGTCAAAGGCGGCGCTCCCATTGAGGGGGAAGCGTGTCAACTCTGCCGTTCTGCTGGGGGTGGGGGAGAGAGCATTATATCTGGCATATTTCAACATGCTCAGTGTTATCTTCAAAAGGACTTATTTTGCATAATAACGGTTTACATTGGCTACAGGTAATGTAGCACTGTGATACATTAATCGAGAATAACATGACAGAATCCTGGGACAGAATAAAACAACATTGAGTGACAGAGAGTGTGTGCAAACTGCAAAGGTCCCTTTGACCAGCTCTAAGGGAGCAGACCATTCTCCCTCAGAGGAAGCTCTCATACAGAAGGAAGAAAACGGTGCTTTCCATCTCAGTTTGTGGTTCTTGGTTCGAGGTGAGGATGTTAAACCAGGGAGCAGTAACCCCCACAGGCACCCTGACGCTGCTGTTCATGATCGGACAGCTGGACACCGTGGTTCTGGATGCTGCTCTCCCAGAGCCCCGGCGTCTGCAGGATCTTTTCAACCAGTTCTTCAAAGGCACACTGAACTCCATCCCGCGTCTTTGCGCTAGCCTCTGATAATGGAAGCACATGGGTTAAGAAAGGACAGAAGAGGGAAAAACACAGTAAGGAGAAAAAAACTCCTGCTCAGTTTAACTAGTCCAACCCTAATTAAACAAACTTGAACCAGCTAATCAAGGTCTTCAGACTAACTAGAAACTTCTAGACAAGCGTTTTAGAGCTGGTTCTAGCTAAAATCTGCAGGATGTTGGCCCTCCAGGAGCAGGATTGGACACCACTGACCAAAACTAAACACAATCTGAAGTTTGGTAGGCTGTAACAGAAAAAGCCATTATACCCAACAATCTGATTATACCAATCTAGCATGTGCTATTGTACTATCATACTGTGCTGCACATATACTACCTACTGATATATAAAAAAGTAGTTTATGAAATAAAATGCATTCTGTGTCTGTGTGTCTTTGTTGTCAACTCAGCACACTGCAAGTTTTTGTAAAGAATTTGTGATCTTTTGACACTCGAGATCAAACAGGTGTTGGGGGGGGGGGGGAACTATAAAAATATAAA